TTTATAGTCTTTGGTGTTTCTACGTATTTTTTATTGGTTTTGGCCATTGTTGTTTTCATAGTGAATATTATAGTATTTAGTATTTCAACGTATTTTTTAGTGTTCTGGCCCTTGTTATTTTCAAAGTGATATTTATAGTATTTATAGTGTTTCTACGTATTTTTTAATTTATTAAAAAATTCTGAGATGGAGAGTGAATATTTTAAGGTATATAATATACAGGGTGGTCCATTTAACTTGAGACAGTCTAATATCTCGAAAACGGTGCGTTTTTGAAAAAAAAAAGTTTAAATAAAAGTTACATGGTATCATGTGGGAAACAAAATGGCGGTACTGATTTTTGACTTTGACAACGTTTTCAAGGTTATTTCAAGGTCAACTCTTTTTTTTTCAATGGAAATATATATTTTTATTACAGAATCTTATTCTACAGAAAAAAACAAGTAACTTTTACTTGAAGCATTTTTCGATCCGGTTTCAATTTGACCTGATAAAAAAGAACGAATAATTTTTTTTTTCCTCCTCACAAAATCGAAAAGTAGAGATAGGTTACCAAAAACACCTCAAAAAATATAACAATTGATCAAATTGACGACCGCCAACTTCAACACAGTTGTTAATTCGCTGTAAAAAGCTTTCATGGCACCAAATTACAGTTTCTTTACTGACAGCTCTAAGCATTTCTTATGTGTTCCATCATATAATCCGGTGTTGTGGGAACCTCTTGATGAACTGTGTGTTTGATTTTTAAAGTGAATTGACAAGTGTGTTGAAGTTGGCGATCGACATTTTGATCAATTGTTATAGTTTTTGAGGTATTTTTGGTTACCTTTCTCTACTGTTCGATTTTGTGAGGAGAAAACAAAAAAATTATTCGTTCTTTTTTATCAGCTTAAATTGAAACCGGATCAAAAAATGCTTCAAGTAAAAGTTACTTGTTTTTTTCTGTAGAATAAGATTCTGTAAAAAAAAAATATATTTCCATTGAAAAAAAAGAGTTGACCTTGAAATAACCTTGAAAACGTTGTCAAAGTCAAAAATCAGTACCGCCATTTTGTTTCCCACATGATACCATGTAACTTTTATTTAAACTTTTTTTTTCAAAAATGCACCGTTTTCGAGATATTAGACTGTCTCAAGTTAAATGGACCACCCTGTATATAAGGGAAAATCGAGCCTCTGTTAGATCCTTTCTTTTAATTGCAGTAATCCATAAAGCCCTGCGTTGCCAATGATTTAAAATAGCAGGAACTGAATAAAATTTCACGTTTTTCCTGTTACCTTGACTTCCACACCCAATTACGATGCAAATCGCTGGCATTTTAATTAACACAATACCTGAACACACAAAAAAATACAAAATCCGATAATTCAAATCTGGACGTTTGTCCAGAATGTGACAGAATCAGTGACATACAGAATAAACAACACATTGAATTTCGTTTTTGTCAGGTCAGTAGATTCCCTAATTTTGACCCATACCTACAGCTTTAGCTATACGGGGTGGAAATAAACTTTATTTACGACTAATGTATAATGTGCATATTATATTTGTGATTTTGGCAGTATAATGACATATGTTATTCCTCCAGGGATTAATGACGAGTAGCGGGATTAATGGTCATTATTCCACAAAAGTGTCATTGTCAAACGTGTAGTGCTTGTGGATTTGTATTGAAAATTATGAGACGGATGAAATTTGTTCATTGAAAATCTCAAATAAATTAATTTGTCGTAAATAAAGTAGAGTATACTACTCGCAATAATGGCTATTATTATTGACTCGTGGTATAATCTACTATTATTTATGACTAATGTATAATGTGCGTATTATATTTGTGATTTTGGCAGTATAATGACATATGTTATTCCCCCAGGGAATAATGACGAGTAGCGGGATTAATGGTCATTATTCCTCAAAAGTGTCAGTGTCAAACGTGTAGTGCTTGTGGATTTGTATTGAAAATTATGAGACGGATGAAATTTGTTCATTGAAAATCTCAAATAAATTGATTTGTCGTAAATAAAGTAGAGTATACTACTCGCAATAATGGCTATTATTCCCTCGGAATGTTACTCCCTCAGTTCGTAATAATCCTTGGGAATAATAGCTATCATTATTGACTCGTGGTATAATCTACTATTAAATATGAAAGTTGTAGGGTTTTATGTCTTGTCTATTATCTTTTGCGAATGTCAAAATGGGCAGATGACAGGTGCCAACTGTCACAATGAGAAACAATTGCATTTTTCAAATTGAACACCCATTTTTAGCTAGATTGATAGATTTTTTTCTTCTGATTCCAAATATGCCATATATGTTGAAATTTGGTTCAGCTGTTTTTACGCTATTCAAGTTTAAAAATACATTTACATTAACCTTAATTTAATCTGTCCCTGGTTTCTTATATCAATGATGAGGCTTGCTCAATGCAATTTTAAAATTGAATAGCGCAAAAACAACTGAACCAAATATCAGCATATATAGTAGGTATATTTGGAATCAGAAGAAAAAAAGCTATCATTCTAGCTAAAAATATACAGAGTGTTTCATTTGAAGAATACAAGTGTTTGTCATTGTGACAGTTGGCACCTGTCATTTGCCCATTTTGACATTCGCAAAAGATAATAGACATAAAACCCTACAACTTTCATATTTAAAGTTTTTTTCCACCTCGTATAGCTAAAGCTGTAGGTAGAGGTCAAAATATAAGGAAACACCCTGTACTCTACCTTTTTGTTGTAATGGAGGCTTGTATAAAGTTTCATCAATAACTTTTAATACCTTTTCTTATGAAGTCTATTCTACAATCAAGTAACAGAATTAATTGATTTTTTTTTCTGATATGACTTACATTCTCATATTTAAAATTTCACATTCTTGACACCGATGTGATGGTGGAATAATTAATTTCTTTTCGAACAATAAATAATACATTCATTCTTGCTCGATAATAAACTGAATAATGATACGAATTTTACACGCCCCGTGGATTCCAAACCGGAATCCACGGCCTATCGACCAATCAAATTCTCCGTATTTCTGGTATACACGGGCCGCAACGAGACAATTACAAACAAAACATGACTGTCGTCTACTGTCAGATCAGGAAACTTTCAATTTGAAAAAATTAAGGCGGCTTTAAACTTTTGATGATTGTTATTTCTCACAAAAACTATGATTTTCTTCCAAAGAGTTCGAAGAGAAAGTATAGTCTTCTACTCGCGAATAATGGCTATTATTTACTCGAATGATTCCAACACTCGCCTTCGGCTCGTATTTGAATTTTCATTCTCGTTATATGCTCATTATATGCTCATTATATGCTCATTATATGCTCATTATATGCTCATTATATGCTCATTATATGCTCATTATATGCTCATTATATTCTCATTATATGCTCGTTATATGCTCATTATATGCTCATTATATGCTCATTATATGCTCATTATATGCTCATTATATGCTCATTATATGCTCATTATATGCTCATTATATGCTCATTATATGCTCATTATATGCTCATTATATGCTCGTTAAAGAATATACTATTCCTGGATTTTTGATTTGTCAAATTTATTATAGATTCGTCTTTACTTAACTTTTGATATTGCCATATTTTAGGAATGTAAATTTTATTATTCATTATCGATAATCTGAACTGAAGTCAAGGTTGGACAACAACATCCTCTAACTTTAAAATTTTTGAGTAAGTATATCTACATCGTCGAAAATTGATCAATTTTTAACCGGGGTCCTATATATTGAGTATTTCTATTATACCTCCTGACCATTTAACCCAACTTTTGATTTCATACAGGTGCAAGTTGATTTTATTGAATTTATTCTTTGTCCACAGGTACAGGTAAATTTATCACCTTTCCCCATCAATTAGCATTGAAAGGTGATAAATTTTACCTGTACCTGTGGACATCGGATTGTGAATGGATAATAGGTACTGAATTAGTTGCCAAAGACTAAAGTATCAAGACTAGTAAAAATGAAATTGATAGTCAAAGATGGTATAATTTACAAAGACCAATGTCAAATCATCTATTGTAGGTAAGTATTGAAAACACTGAAGTTGATTTGAATAATTTTAGTAACTTACTTATCTATGATATGTCTTATTGTCTATTACCAGAAGAAAGCGATTCGGTCATAGACTTTGCTTTGAAAAAGCGCAATGTTAAATTGGTGGATACTGGTTCAGGATATGGAGCAGAAGGATTTACAGAATACCTACAGGCATTTACGGAGAAATTGTATTTTTTATTCATTCTAATACTTATTTATTATTTCTTCTCAGATTCCATCCGACAATGAACCGTACTCGAAGAATTTATCCTCACGAGCATAACTTGGATGGTTTTTTTGTTGCCAAATTGGAAAAATTCTCTGTCAAATGTCATAGCAACAAGTGATGATTCTGAAGCTATAAGTAGAAGAATTTAATTTTGTAGATGATAAAATTGAATTTCTACAAATTTCAAATATTGTTCAATAATTTTTTCATCTCCGAGAACGAACAATAGGCAACAAAACAATTCAGAAAAAGGAAAATATTCCAATACCTAATGAAAAGATCATTGAAAAAAGAAAAACAATACTGATGAAAACCAATAAAACACTGGAGAAAAAGAAAAAAAAAATAAAAATAGGACAGTTATAAATAACAATAAAACTAACAAGACAACAAGGCATTGATGTTAACAAACCAACCACTCCAAAAAATAAAAAGTATTAATCATCTGCGGAAATAAAATATCATCAAATTAAGTGAACTATAAGCTGGGATAAAGCACCAAAAAAGATAGGTGTAAGACCTAACGAAAAACTAATGAAAGAAAACAAAAAGTAAGTGAACCTAAATAAAAAAAAGAAAATTAATTATAAAATTTAAATAATAAATGGATTGGATGGACAAAAAGTTCAAGAAAAATGGGAATTAATCACTATGTTATTATGTATGGAATAATAAATAAAAATATCCTCTAGTTCCTTCAGACACCGAATAAAATACCAACTTTATTTTGTATATAACAAACTTGAATTTTTTTTCAATTTTTCTTAACATACTTCAGGTAACAATCTTTTTCCAAATCAAATTTCAACAAATTAGACTTCATTTTAGAAGTTTTTTCCTTGACGGTCTTAACATATTCTTCTAAATCATTTTTCCTGTTGGCTATAACATAAAGAGGATGTTCCGCAATTAGCAAGAAATCCTCTTTAAGAATTTTATCCACAATATCATGGTCAAAATGCTTCTGCATGTAATTATGAGCGAAATAAATTACATCGAAAAAATTATCGTAATTTGGTTTGTGTCTCATGTCTTCCAGAGCTTTGATGGATAAAATATTAACGGAGACATTTTCAACTTTTACGCAATCTTTGATAAAGTCACGAGACGTTTCTGGAGTCTTAAGATCGAGCACTATTTTGTCTTGCTTAATAATCGCATAACCAAGCTCCATATTGTTTTTCCTTATGTGTTCATACTCCTGTTGATTCTCTATTTCGTAGAAAATTTGCTTCAAGTTTCTTTCGGTCACATCCGTTGCTCTGAAAAAAAGAATATTGTTTTTATAGGTCTTCTTCTGTTTTCTTTTTTCCGTTGCTCCGTATATTTGACAGCATATAGCTCGCTTATGAAGCAAGGGAAAAAAAATAAAAAATTAAATACAAAGTCAAGACTGTCAAGAGAAATAGGGAACTTGACAAAAAATTTAAACATGAAAATATTACTATAAATCATAAGAATATATTATGTTAAAACATATATCAGCGAAAAAACTACATTTTTTTGTCACAAATGGCCGCAATAAGGAATTAGAAATGCGGAAAAATTCAAATTATTTCCAGCGGCAAAAAACGCACTGGTATTGGTTGTGACGTCATTTAGTATGATCTGTCAGTGTCTGTCAGCAACCGTTCATTATACTGTGAGTTCGGCTTGAAACACTGAGCGCTCGGAGCATTTCCGTCTTTTTTCCTTGTGATGAGAAGAACAGGGATAAAAACAAAACAGCAGCTCCGAGCGTTTACTCGAACTCCACATAATAAATACCCGTTAGCTGTGTTTATCCACGTTTTTCTCTATTTTTTTAAAATTTTATCAATATTAGAATTGGTTTACTTCGCTTAAATTCAATGATTAGCTTAGCATTATATAAATAAAACGATATACCTATTAATTATGACCGAAGAAGGAAATTCCAAAGGGCAATCCGCCAATCTGTAATTTGTGATATGTTTATAGTAACAATAGTAAGTAGGTATGTGCATTTGCCGAATGCTAGAGCAAAAAACACTGTACCCAACGTTGGATCTAACGTTGGGGCCAATGGTTGGACACATCGTGTGGCGCCGGCTTAACGCAAAATCATACTACGTGACGTCATCCAGATTTAAGGTCGTTTGAAATGCTTTTAATTCGCGCGAAACTTTAAACATTTTTCACCAAGTTATTATAGACCTATCTATTTTACCAGACAAAGAGGTAATAATACGAAAACTTCATCAAATAAAAAAAGACACAGAACGCCTATTGCGCAAGACGAGGCACAACGTACCAAATTATGTTAGACTTACGTATAGCAATCCGTCCTTCTTTTTTGCACAGGATAAAAAGAAAAGGAGAAAAACCGCGTATTGTGCAACGTATTTGTCAATGAAAATGTCAAACAACTTTTGAATGACATTTGTCAAGTTGAATATCAACTTTATATTTATTCTTATCAGACCACATGCAATGAACAAGGATAAAGAGATGCCCAGCATGCAAAACGATCACCTCACACCTGTATTAGCTAGCCAATAAAAAGACATTGCCTCGTGTTGCGCGCGCATTCCAGGTAAAAATAGATAGGTCTATTGAGTTTTAGGGAATAATATTTGGGGAATACTCTTTCAAGGCATAAATAAATGATTTAAAAAAATAAAAAAAAAATTGTAAAGTTCCCTATTCCAAAGGCCAATCCGACCATCTGTAATTTGTTGATATGTTTATGGTAGCAAAAGTATTTGCGAGTCTTTTCTTCCATTATAACTTCAAAATTTACAACTTGCCGCAATACAAAACAACAACAAAACAAATAACGGTGGAAAATGTGGAAATCAATCAAATTAAATGCCATGAAGTATGACGTTTGGTGACGCAAAATCATACTATGTGACGTCATCCAGATTCGCGCGCTTAGAAGGTCATTCGAAATGCTTTTATTACGCGCGAAACTTTAAACATTTTTCACCAAGTTATTATTGAGTTTTAGGGAATAATATTTGGGGAATACTCTTTTAAGGCACAAATAATTGATTTAAAAAAAAAATGTGAAGTTCCCTATTTACGAGAACCGCTAGGAAATTATATCTATATATATAAACGTGAAATTCACTCACTCACTGACTGACTAACTGATTAAACACGAAATCTCGAAAACTACTAAACCAATCGAGATGAAATTTTGCAAACAGGTAGGTAATAGGTTGGAGATGCTCACTAAGAAATAATATCAACATTGCCTTAAGCAATCGCATTAAATAACCAAAAATAAGAAACGGTGTGGTGCGGGGAAAAAAGTGTAAACAGAAACAGACGACGTGTCAGCTGTCAAATTCAGAAATATGACAAGCAGAATCAAATTCATAGCGATTTCCATTTGCAGAATCAGTGCAAAAAAAATTTGTTTTTGTCGTTATATTTTCATGCTTTCACCAGAAACGATTCGGAACCGATTCTGAACAAATTCCACCGGTCCCAGGCTAATCTAACTTCAAGTTTGAGACATGACATTCGCAATTCGTTCACGTATTCGACAGTCTGGAGCAAGGTTCTGGAATTTTTGTTCGGTTCCAAAACTGTTCGCGATAAAATAGGAACCTGAACTCATTCACAACTTGGGTTCGGGTTGCTCATTTCGAGTTACTCCGATCGCACTCCAGCCGTTATCTGATAAGCTAAAAGGTAATACCCGAACGGCTGAAGTGCGAACGGAATCACTCGGAGTGCACGGAGTGAGCAAGCCGAACCCAGCTATAACTGGGCATGCGCTCTACGATAGTCCTCAATTAGTTCCGGACTGGTTCGGAATCGATTCGAAATATGATCCGCGAACAAAGCTATTAGCAGCGAGTGGCACTTCAAAAAAATTTCACGTCAGCTGTCAAAAAATAGTCTTTTTTCATATCCTGCAGCCACAAAGCAGAACAAAAAATGTGGTTTACAGAGAGGTGCTGCAAAAATAAGAGTCAGTGTTGCCAGAGGTGGTACAATTGTACCAAATTTGGTACCATTCGCTTTGTAAAAGTACGCTGGTACGACGTTGGCATATTTGGTACAATTTTCCATTTTTTTTTTTTCCAAATTCTCAAAGAGTCTTAGCCTACTGCCTACAGTCTAATGTCGATGTTCTAATTAATTTGTATTTCTGTATCTAAATTCGATATAACAATAATTTCTGATTCGTGCTTTCTCCACTCACCCACATTTTAGATGTGTACAGCATTCGTACAAAAAAAGTAGTGATGAGCGATATATCACGAACTGTGATTTAATCACTGATATCTAAAAATCACGGATCACGACCGCTACCAAAGTTCTATAAAAAGCGTGACGTGATCACGACAACGTAGCAAACTATTTAATTTCTTGTCTATTAGAGTATCTAACCTTATCCACATAAACCAGCGCTGTGTGGGCGGGCCTTTAGTTCCGGCTAAGGAGGCCCTTACCAGTTTAACGGTACTTTTGTTATCAATTTTTTAAATATTTAAGTGGGTATTACTTTATCAAATATTTGCTTTGTTTGGTTTTCATCGTAATTTGATAATTTTGCGTTTTAAATGGCATCCTACTTTATCTCACCCATTTGGGGTTTTTGCAAACGTGTACTACTTTATTGTTGTCTCTGTCTTACTCACATATAATTAACGATTAAACATTTTTTCTTTAAAATTAAACTAGAAACAAGTTTCCAAAACCTTATTTGGGAAATTTATTGTTTTATAATCGTTATTATTTAATTATTCAACAGGTTTTAATTAAATTAAACCATTTAAAATGTCATTAATGTCATGCGGCAACGTCGCTTTTAATCGGCCATTTTGCAGTGACGTGTTTACGTTTTTATCCAGTTTTTCCTTGGATTTTCCAGGGCGTTCTATAAGTCGGAAAAATTGGTTCAAAGTACGAGGCTTTGAGTTTTTTTCATTTTGTGCAAAAAATTTCCAGTTTTCCAATAGGGTAAGTGACAAAAACTCAAGTCTCATCAAGTAGGTGCTGGAATGTTCTTTTTAGAGATTTTTCTTCGGATTTTCCGCTTTTCCAAAGCTTCTTCAATTAGGAAAACCGATTTTAAATATCAGGCTTTAGGTTTTTTCCATTTTGTACCAAAAATTGTCAGTTTTCCAATGGGGTAAGTGACTAAAACTTAAGTTTCAAGTAGGCTCTGGAATGTCCTTTTCAGAGGTTTTTCTTTGAATTTTCCGCTTTTCCAGGGCTTTTTCGGTCGGGAAAACCGATTTTAAGTACGAGGCTTTGAGTTTTCTTCATTTTCTAGCACAAATTTATATTTTTAAATGCAATAATTAGGATAATCCCATTTAAATGCTTTTTCTGGAAGTTTTGATGTGGCAACATCGTTTGTAGCCAACTTTAATCATGTAAATCTTGTAATAAATATCATTTGTCAATTTGGAAAGTCGACCATTTTGAATGTTTTTATCCATGTTTTTCCTCGAAATTCCCGCTTTTCCAGGCCGTTTTAAAACGGAAAAAAATGGTTCAAAGTACGAGGCTTTGACTTTCCTTCATTTTGTGCCAAAAATTTTCAGTTTTCCAATAGGGTAAGTAAAAAAAACTCAAATTTCATCAAGTAGGCTTTAGAATGTCCTTTTCAAAGGACTTTCTTTGGATTTTTTGCTTTGCCAGGGCTTTTAGGATCGGGAAAACCGATTTTAAGTACGAGGCTTTGAGTTTTCTTCATTTTGTGCCAAAAATTTCCAGTTTTCTAATGGGGTAAGTGACAAAAACTCAAGTTTCATCAAGTAGGCTTTGGAATGTCCTTTTCAGAGGTTTTTCTTTGGATTTTCCGCTTTTCCAGGCCGGGAAAACCGATTTAAAGTACGAGGCTTTGAATTTCCTTCATTTTCAGCCAAAAATTTTCAGTTTTAAATTAAAATTAAGAACGCAAAAAAAAATAATTAGTAAAAAACAACTTTTTAGGGAATTTATATTATATACTTATATATATTTTTTCAGGTGGCAACACTGTTTTGTAGCCAACTTTACTCGGGTTCCAATCCAGTAGGTCTTGGAATGTTATATCTAAAGTGACATTTGAGAAAAAAGTATGGTCACCCCCACCCTATTATAGGCTGGTACATTTTTACTGAATTTGGTACAATTTGTCTTTAATTTTGATAAAAAAAATTTTTGCTCTCTGGCAACACTGATAAGAGTTAAATGACCATATGTCTGACGCAACTATCCCCTTAGCTCTTTGAAAGAAGATTACCTACCTAATGCTACCTACACTCTACACCTACAAAATTTATATAGGGCG